CAAACACTAGTACAAATGGCCAGTGTCTGAACTCTACCAAGAATAAATTGAACACACATAGGGGCAGTTTTACCTGAAGAGCAAGGGTACATTTTAGTGCCAAAGGAATGCTGGTGTACAGCGTTAAGCGCAGATGAAGGCACTTTTCAACAGCAGATCTTGGAATATCCACATCACAAGGGTCAATACTAATTTGCCAGTGATACCTGCTACTTGTATTTCAGCAGCAGGGACCCATTATGCACCAGTGAGAACCTCCCCATACATTCAAAAAGCGTTAACACTTTACATCGTGACTGTCTTCTACAGTACGTACTTACATGCCAAGCAAGCAAGGCATTTTGCTTCATTTAATGCAACATACAACTGAAATTAGAGAGGAATTCAGACTGCCTACCGTTTTCTTACCAGCAAGCATCCTGCAGACACTGATGAGACAGTCTGGGACTACAGATAAACAACAGTGTTTAACAAAGGACTTGTGGTGCTATCAGAAGCCTTGTTACAGTCCTTGGTGCTCAATTCATAGTGGTGGTCCTTCTGCCTTATGAAACTAGAAATTCCTTTTCACCCATTTACTTGAGTTTTAAGATTCTGCACAGTTCAAAAGTGAACACTTAAGACTTTTTGCTTATTACCTCCTCTAGCAGAATTTAACTTTTGCCTGTATGGAAGACAAGTGTCTGAACTGAGGGTTTTTTGGATATCAGAATGCATCTTTTGGGACCTTCCTAATAGATCAAGCCACCAAATTCTGTTCTGATGAGAAGCTTTTCAACAAGAACATTAAAAGCATACAAGTCGAATTTTGCCCTTCCTAACTGCTGCTCCGCTCATGACCTCCCAGTTAAGCCACATACCCAGGCTGAACTTGGAGTCCCGATTCAGATACAAGTCAAGACTTCTACCAGGATGCACCACCAGGCCTTGAATGTAAGAATATTACATAGAGCAACAATTACAACAGCAACTACAACGTACTTAGAAAACCTGGAGATAGTTACAAGTGTCCCTAAAGTTATTTCAGCACTTTTTTGCTTCCAGAAGTTCCAACTACTTTCACATCAACATTTACACACACACACACACACACACACGTACGTGAGGGATGTGAGTCACTTAACTAATGATTTCCTGCATACAGTGGAAGAAGTTTCAGTACAGTTACACAGTCATACATTCAGCATAAGCCGCTGATGTCAGAATAAATTCCCATATTAATAAGAAGCATCAAGGAATTTTATTTACATGAAAGCCACATCTATATAACCTTCTGGCTTTAAGCAAAATAAAGCAGTCTTCACTAAATATATTTGCCAAACTAGTGGCATTAATACTTTTCCCATCTCAGAAATATTGACCCAGGATTCAAACCCCTATCATCACAGCTCATCTGTATATTTGCATTTTTACAAGGAAATAGCCAAGTTTGTTTTGAAACTACAGTTTCAAACAAAGTCACCTCCGCCATCATTCAGGTAATCCCATAAATTAAACTTAGTAATAAAGAGCTATGGTTTAAGCAATTGGGCAAACTCAGGCAGCCAAAAAAAAATTTCAAGTCAAAGCCACCAGATAAGCTGGCACTTCTGCTCAACAGCATTTTCATGCTGTGCTGATCTGCTACATAACGAGTGTACAAACTACCATAATCACTCACACTGAATCAAGCCAACAGTGGAAGAGCTAGAGGTTGGAAACTTTAGTGATCCACTATCATTGTATTTCATATCCAAATTACAAGTAAAAGCCAGTGTTTCAAAGAAGCACAAAGAAAGCCTTTTCCCACAGCACATTGGAAGAAAGGAAGAAAATCCTGGCTGGGGTCTCTGTAGAAGCCTGACTACTATCTCACACTGTCTGCAGTGAGGGATGACTTTGGTTTATGACAACTGTTAGTAGACTTAAATTCCCAACTGTAGAATGCCTGATTACAATTACTGCCTTTAAGGGGCATAGAGCTGTGTACAGAGTGGCTGGAAGTTTGCAGGACATAAGTGTTTCATTTCTTACTGCACTTACAGTACAGAAACACTCCTATTAAACAGACACATAGTTAAGTTACATATATTGAACAAGTCCAGACAGGTATTAGTAGTTATCTTTCATAAAAGCAAACACACTTAATACCACAACTACAACTGAAAATTGCACATCATTTACCTTTTATTAAAAGGTCCAGAGCTACATATAACACAAAGCTTTTCAAATTGAACACAGCAGGGAAGAAAACAGTTCTCACACAGGCAGAACATACATTGCTACAGAAGGAATCACTGCTGCTGCAAAGTGTACACGCACGTAAACCACCAAGCTAAATCCAGCCTATACCACAAAGTTTTACAGCACTAAGTTTTGAAATAGTTTGTCAAAGTCTGAACGCAAAAAAAAAATTAGCTATTGCTCTACAAGTTCTCATCATCTCACTTACTTACACCAGAAAGCCTGGTGAAAGGGGAAACTTCCTTCTACATCCTCACGCTAAGACTTCCAGAAGTGTTAGTGTCATCTTCCCGTCCACCTAGCTTTTGCAATAGCACTGCATTATTTAGAAGTGGTACTAGGGAATCAGCAATTTTGCCTGACTTGTCCAAAATTAAAACACATTGGTACTTACCCTTTTTCTTTTTGCTCCCACAAAGCACTTCACTTTTAACAGTGCCTCTCTCCCAAAAAAAGTTAAAAAGCTCAAGATGCTCAGAACATATTAAATGAAAATGCACACCAGTGACCTACCCTCCCCCACCCTCTGCACCTCCATTTCTTGTTGTATATTGCTTAGTTTTGAGCAAGCTATTCCACACTACCTCTTAATTTGGAAAACTTCCTATGAAGGTTCACAAATTCCGACACTCTTTCAGAGAATCCTTGATGACTACCAAAAAGGTGGCAGAAGTTCCATGACTTACAACTGTTTTATCCTCTCCTTCAGTTTAATTTTCTATAAGCCCTAATGTACAAGTGTTTATCTGCTGACACAGCGCCTTGCACTGTGGTACACTGATGCTCCCTGTGGAGACATCTTCAAATCCAAAGGCCCTGAGAAATCCAGAAGCTGAACAGAGGCAATAAGAAAGTCCAAGAGCAATACAGGACTGCAGTTCAAGAGAAACTCCAATATACATAAGCAAGTGAGTAAATAAATCACCACTCATAGTCCACACAAGGCATTCTTACTGAGACATTACGAGCTCAAGTCACCTTTGCCTTCATTCCCACCAGGCTGAGGGAAGAAAGCCAATCCAGAGGATGGAGAGAGCACAGCCAAACCCTATCACCCTTTCAAAAAAGTCTGAGAGATCAAAGCTTTCTTACTAAGCAGCAGCAAGTTATTATAATGTGAATTTCATTTCCAAGTGACACTAAGGAGCTAAGATCCCTAATCAGGTAATGCAAACATATCTACTTTCCCACTACACTACCTGTATTTTGTCCTATCGCTCACACACCAATACCCCTCATGACTGAAGTTGCCCTTGTCATCAGGCAAAGCTACAAAAAGCTATTAAAAAAAAAAGCTTTCATAGCTACCAGCGGATGGTTTCCAGACAGCAAGCTGGACACAACAGCTCTCAGGTGTTGGTAACAACACTATCGGAGCAAGTTCTTGGTAGCAGTGTCACACACTACTTTCTCATAAGATTAAGCCACATCAAAATAGAACCCCTTCAGGAAAATCTAAACTACAGATTCTGCCAACCCCTCTATTCCCTGCTTTCCCTTCCATTAAGCAGGAAAAGCACAAGTAGTCTATCGACAGAAAACAGTCAAACTCAGTCCATAATTAGTGAAGGAAAAATAAAAGTAACGTGAGAAAACATCCAATGTTGCTGCCCACATAGAAAACCCAACACTAAGAAAATCTGTCATTTTCACTGCTCCTGAACCATAGACTTTCCCAGACAAGTATATAATAATTTGAGGTTGAGGAGGAAAATCCTGTATAGGTAAGTTGTACAACCCCAAACAGCAGCATCCTTCCAGGGGATATTCTTAGAACTGCCCTTGATAATACACACAATAGACCAGCTCACAGAAATCATCATTTCAGTAGGATATAAAATTCCTCTCTTTTCATAAAGGCAGCCATTGTGTAAACCATTCTTTCAACAATAACTCAAACATCTGCATTAACAAACAGAAGCCTGCTAAATAACACTCCTCCTTAGTCATGGCAAGAGCCATCTGTTCACCTAGCTAACCCACAGCAAGTATGGCAAGCACTACCACAACTTGCTTATGTTATGTATCCACACACTCCATGTTTCAGTGTACATTATTTGTGTTTCCAAACTGCAATAACACAGCATTAATCATACCAGCATTAGTCTTAAATACACATGCTTACAATGAAAGGCTCCAAATGCCAAAGAAAATTCCCTGCTAGTCTTCAATTAAAGACAAGTAGACCATAGCCTTGTATGCATGGGGATGACAGTTTGTAAACTCTGTATTTATTCTTGTCCTGTTAGACTTACAGAATAGGAAGGGAGGAAAAGTATTATTCTTTTTTATACTCTAGTCACTTACAGCTAGATGCTACTTTTCATGAGAATACTCTATGAGAGTTTCTATAGTGGATTCTGTCCAAGCCTCAGATAAAATTTTCATGGATTAGCCCCTGTGTCCAGAAGTACTAGATTAGGTCTTGTGATTCCAAAATTTAGTGGCCCTATTGAAGGGGGCCCTCCTGAGATGAAGCCCTTTTTATGGATCTTACCCACGCAGCTGTACGAGCTCCCTGCTCTCACTACTGTGGATACAAGCAGCTTGCCCCTTGCTGGATACCTCCCTTCCCGCCCCTCCCCTGTACCGCTAGCCAGACCCTGGTGCCCACGGCGGCCAAACCCGGCTGCCTCGGCAGAGACACAACTTACCGCGCTGAACCCCGGCGCGGGCAGGGACGGGAGGCTGGGAGAGGGACCAGGGCCCTCCCTGCCCACGGCTGCCGGGCGTGCAGGCTGCCGCCTGGAAGGGGAGAAGCGGGGATTGCTCCGTACCTGACCCAGTTGTCGCGGAACTTGCTCTGCTGAGGCTGGTTCAAGTAAATGGTGCGGGCTGGTGCCTCGTCCAGATCCGCCGAGGACGTGGCTCCGGACATCTCATCATCCGCCTTCTTGTAGCCCGAGGGGGAACAGACAGGTCCTGCAGGGAGAGCGCAGAGGGGCGGC